AACCGAAAATCGTATCCACATGCGCCGTTCGGAACAACGTATCCAAAAAGGCTTTAAATCCGTATCTCAACCGAAAATCGTACTCACACGCACAGATCGGATAATCGTATCCGCAAACTCGCACAAACATATCTAGCGATAAAACGTACCCCACAGGTGCTCTCACGTACCCAGTATGTAGTGATCGGGGATCGTACCCACGCCACGCCTTAAAATTGTATCCCAGAGACCAGGGCGCGGTTCACGTGGCCGAGCGCGAGCGCCATGCTCCGCATACTGCGCGCCACCGGGAGCGGTGTGCTCGGCGCGGCGGTTTTTATCCTCACGCAGACGCGCGAGCCGACTTCGGCGATGCCCAGGCGCGACACCCCTCCGCCCGGCGTGGCGCCCCCCGCCCAGCGGCCACGCAACGACGCGGGCGCCGGCCCGAGCGCATTCGGGCTCGCGCAGCTCGCGCCGGGGCAGATCCCGTCGGCGTTCCAAAGAGCGACGATGACGCTCGAGCAGCTCCGGACTCACGCAGCCACCTCCGCGCCGCGGCAGCAGTCCAGCCTGCCCGAGCCGCCGACACCCGGACTCAAGTGCGTAGAGTGGAACCCGATTGGGTTCATGGGCGACTTCGCGCTCGCGCAGTCGAACGCCTGGTCGGCAGTGTGGCCGGAGGTGAACGACGCGGAGTTCCAGGCGAGCTTCGAGGCCGAGCGGACGCGCACGCTTCAGAGCGCGCCTAGCTGCGTGCTCCCGCCCCACCTGCGCATGCCGCTAGCAGCTCTGCAGGCTGGGCCGTGCCGTCTGTTCTGCGGCTGGCATATGCCGCATCTGCTGGACAAGAGGAAGGGGGAGCTCTTCGAGGACAGCACCCAGTATTTCGTATATAATAATATAAAATATATGCATGCGACAACACACACACAACAAATACACATGCATGCGTGTATATCTTTACTTGTCTGATGTATAGTATGTTGACAAAACATTTGGGAGTGTAGTTACGTAATACTTGTGCATGATGCGAACAGTATACGAGAGCATAAGCCGCTTGCCGGGCTGTGCACGGCTGATGCCTTGCTGATAACTCAGTGTCTGAGAATAAGAAGTCGCATGCGCACCCCCTTACATTTGGGGAGGACAGCGCGGGCATCGGCTCAGACCTATGTGCAGGTTGTGAAGCGAAGGTTATGAGTCCTCATGAATACGGCGAAATTGGGGACCGCCCGCTATGCGCGCGGGCGGGGCGCGGGCCGAGCGGCACTGAGTGCTTGACGCTCGGTCCGCGCTAATCACCGGAAGTTTCGCATTGCCCTGCAGGGACCCAATTGGGTGACTGCATGGGATGCGAGTACTTAGCTATCTCTAGCATAGACTAAGTCACATAGATAGCCAATATCCGGTCCGGCACATGGCCGGACCGGCGAAACTCCGGAAGCCGGATTTCCCCAGGACCCTTGAGAGATAGGAAAGCGCAGCCTTCCGGCGGGACAGGGTGACTGGAGGAGCTTGCGGCCCAGGGCTGGTTCACAGACAGATGATTATTTTGTCCGGGGTCGGCCGAGTTGTTTATACTGGATCGTGGGTTGAGGGACTATGTGGGGGCGACGGAGACGATGAGGAGGGGGATGGGTGACGAGGACTACTACGACCAGGCCGCGCGTCCGCAGCGTAACTTCGAGTTTTATTCGAGGCCTGATATGCGAAGCGTAATAATCCCGTGCGCACTATCTGTTAGTATTACAAAATGACGCTCGTATCAGGTCATCCGACAGCAGGTGACAGGTTTGGCAGCATACGCCTATGGTCCGTACACCTACACGTAAGCCGGCCTCTCTGCTCTCGTGGGGCAAGCCGGCCTCTCTGCTCTCGTGGGAAGCAGCAGTGGTGCCAGGATATCAAATGAGACCGTGACATCGCAATTACGGCGGAAAATTTCGTTCTCGTTCAGCCCGCACGCGCTGTCCACCTCCTGGCCGAGCACGCGGCGCAGGTCCATAAACTGCCCGAGGAACGCGTGCTGGTCGCCCCATCTGCGATTCAAAACGTGATCCCTCCCAAACGTGCTGGGGAAGATTTCGACGACGACTTGGTCCACGCTAGCTCGCATGAAGAGCGCGTTCACGATGCCGGCGCCGTGCACACCGACGAGCGCGCGCGCGCTGCATGCGGGCGATGACCCGAGGCATCGATAGCTCCTAAAACGCGATCTCACTGCACGTGTACAGCTTCTGGCATTTGGCGAGCAGCTCCTTACCGTTGACAGTGTTGCGTACGAGAGCACGTCGCGTCACAAACAGCACGGATGACCGCTCACCTGCGGATCTAACGCTAGGCGTAGTGTCTGGAAGGCGGGTCGGTTCGTGGATCTTCGCTGTTGATGATGTGTGGAAGTTGATCATCTGCTGGATTGTAGGGCGCGCCTTGGCCCACTCGCTTGGGGTGAGTTCCTGTTTGGCATACGAGGAGCGCGATATCAAATGACCCTCCGACGGTGGTATTGGACGCCGACGAGCTCACGAGCAGTGTGCCAAACGGCACGATGAACGATGTGTGGTAAGACGGTGTGGAGTTATTCGGGGCGAGCGGCACCACAAACGTCCAGCGGATAGTGCGGTTCCTGACGGACCTCAATCGGCGGTCATTGCGTAGCGTGGACATGCTCAGCACGAGGGACATGAATCGTTGAAGCGTCTCACTGTAGTTCATGCTCCATCGTGGCTGCCAGATGACCAGGCCACGCAGAGCTGCTGATGCAGCCTGTGGCAAGATGGGGGACACTGTGCTGCAGCGGATACGCCTGAGCGGCACTGGCGAGCGTACCTCTTGGCCCGTGCTGGTGCCGCGGAAGGCCCATCACTGACAAAAATTACATCGTTGAGTTGCCAAAGGTGCCGAAGTCCTCGCCAAAGTTGCCGTCACCGCGTTAGGCCCGCCGGTTTCTATTCCCGTCGTCGTCACCACTGCTGCTCCCATCACTCGATCTCGAGTGTTTGCCGGTTTTGCCCACCCAGTTCGCCAGTGGACTGATTACCCTGGTGATGAACTCTGGGATAGACTCGCTCTCGGCGTGAAAGAGAGCGCGCAGCGGCAGCGCCGGCGGCAAAACCTACAGTGTCTGCGACAACAGCGAAACCTCGGTAGCGGGCGCGTCAGCGGGTGCGGCAGCGGCAGGAGCCGCTGCCACGGGAGATGGCACTACCAGCTCCTCATTCCCCGCGTCAGCGGGCGCGTCAGTGGACGCGGGCGCAGGGGTTGCGCACGCCGGCGCAGCCCGGCGGGCTGACCGGCGTGTGCGTGAACCCCTGCCACCCCCGTGGCTGCTGACCCCCGCGTGGCCATCGTGCCCGCCGACCCCTCCTGCCGCGGCACGATGGCCACGCGGGCGGTGAGTGCGAACATCACGCGCCCCCCGATCACGAACCATGGCGCGATCGAGAAGTTTATGTTGTTCGGAAGAACCGCCTTCAGCCAGCCCCAGATCGCCCCTAACCGCACCTCCCACTCATCACCCACCGAAGCCTCGCCGCGCGCGCCCATGTTCCGATCTCGCGACGCTGGACGCCGCTCGACATCACGCCCCACTGCGCACGCCCAGCCACTCACTCACCACTGCGGCTTCACCTGCACGCCCTGCCCGAGATTGCAGGAGCGCAGAAGCCCGACGAGCAGCTTGACCGCTGCTTGGTCAGCCGCGGTCATGCCCGTCGGTGTCGGCGCGCCGTGGGTGGCATTGCCAGCCGCTCTCGGTGTCCTCCTCCCGCGGTCGCGCGCCGGTGTCGGCACGCGACGTGCGGCATTATCAGCCGCTCTCGGTGCCCCCCCTCCATCCCCCCCCGCCACGGGGGCGACGTCGCAGCCGCGTCACCGGGTCCTGCGCCGCCGTGCGCGCTGAGGTCTGCTGTTTCAGATAAGTACGGGCGTACATTGTACAGTAGCACACTACGGCGGAAATTCGGCCGGAGAGCTAGCTCCGGGTCCCGGAACCGGGCAATTTATTCTCCGACAGTCGGAGAATAAGCCTTATCGACTGACAGTCGGAGAGGAGCGCCACGCTGCTCCACCGGGCAATTTATTCTCCGACAGTCGGAGAATAAGCCTTATCGACCGACAGTCGGAGAGGAGCGCCACGCTGCTCGTTCGACGATAAGGCTTATTCTCCGACAGTCGGAGAGTTCCGTTATTCTCCGACTGTCGGAGAATAAATTGCCCGCGGAACAGTAAGGGAGCTCGAGATGCGCCCAGCTCAGTAACTGATTTTTTTTTCACTATTATATCAATACGATATGCAATGTGCGCAGATTTATGAATCGTGCCGGCGTAACTCAGTGGTAGAGTGCGACACCAGTAATGTCGATGTCATGGGTTCAATTCCCATCGTTGGCTGTTTAACTGCATCCGATCGTTGGCTTTCTTTTTCGTTTGCTCATATCGTGCAGCGCTACACACACTCTTCCACTGCGGTTGCCACATGTCGCTGGTCAAACGCGGGGAGGAGACTGATAATAGGCCCAGCAAACGTGGTTTCTGTCGTGGACGCTCGAGGACGGCTCAAAATCGTGTAGGCGGAGGTGCAAGTAAGCGCGATCAGGGTGGACCTCGCGCGTCAACATCTCCGGTTCGAGTGACTTCAAGTGCGCTGGTGCGATCGTCGTTACGTCTACATAGTTACATACGTCCTCGCGCCTCGCTTCGAGCGATTTCAAGTACCGCTGGTGCGATCGTCTTCACCCTGGTACGACTTCGAGAAGACGCTGGTGAGACGTAGACGTCCAGGTCGCGCTGAAGACGGGCACCGCTGTGGTTCCCTGTGCGTGCTGCGAGCGACGAAAACGAGCTCGCGACGGGCCGTTCGCCATCATGACAGATTTATTAGAATTTGGTGCGTGGGAGTTGTGTGTGTGGGAGGGGGTGGGCGGTGATTGGGAGAGAGCAAACTGTCCAAAAGGAATCAACGTTGTACGGAGACAGGAAGAAATACAAAAGCATAAGTTTTAACGGAAGCATACAACAGCCAACGATGGGAATTGAACCCATGACATCGACATTACTAGTGTCGCACTCTACCACTGAGTTACGCCGGCTTCCATTAATGTCATCTCGCATTTGTGGGACTCTTACTAGTCATCAATACAATTCCGTAAACCAGCGCACCTCAGATAAATTCTGTAAACGTGGCGCACTTGTCCGCACTTGACCGCGTATAAGCCCATCTCAACCTAAATAAATGAATAAATAAATACAAAAAATGGTGTTGTGCGGAACGGCCACGAGTTTCGTCACCGGGGATGGCCTACCGTGCGGTGGTCGGTATGCCGCGTACGTAACGACAAGGGTACCTCCCTTGGTAACGACCGCTTTTTATCAATAGAGCAATTCTTTTTACGCCCCCGACTTGCAGCCCGAAGGCGTACGGGCCTGGCCCTGCCTGCTTCCCTGGAACCATCTCGATCCGACCGTGAGTCCGATTCCTACTGTGAGGTCCGATATTGTCGCCGTTCACGAGGCCTCTTATTTTCATATTTTCAGAATTGCAAATAAAAACGTACGAACATCCGACGGCTTGACATACTGACCCCTGACTGAGACGTCAGACGCGGGGTCGAATTCCAAATTAGTGGCGCGATTCCGCATTGGGGAGGAGAGAAAGCGGTGGCCGGGTCGAAGAAGTAGACGTCGTTCGCCCCTGCGCACTAAGTGTCGATAGCTATTGTCGAATAAAGCCCTCCTTGACGGTCGGAGCCCACTTTGTGTGCCTCTCGCGTGTGCCTCTGGATTCGAGAACACACTAAAGGTAACTAGCATCTCCAATTCTCAGCGTTCGGAAGCGAAAAGAAAGTCATGGTTCCCGAAGTGGTGCACAAAAGTTAGTTGCAGATTCGTAAATGGGGCGCCGCCCCATTCACAAATCTGCATCTAACCTTTCGGTCAATATCGAGGCGATAGTAACCGCCGTTCACCTGGTGTCGATTATTTATATTATTGAGATGATTTTCGCTTATGTTTTTGCTTGAGACGGCTATTATAAGCCTCGTTCGAACACCAGCTGTTGGGTTATGCTGTACCTGGACCAATTGCATCCAACGCCCGTCAATTTTCATAACCATGTCGTAGGCATGGAAGTACTTGCAGAGCGCAGCGATCTCGCCGATAGCGGCCATGATCGATTTGCCGGTGCCCGTCGGCGAGAGCAAGAAGCACGAGCGCTCGTGCAGCGTTCCGACGGGTGCCGACCGGAGGCTCAGCGCGTGGTGCTTGAGAGGGTGCGGTGCCGAGCTGACGAGCTTGATGTCGACGCCGCGCATGCGGGCGTGCACGAGCGAGGCCACGGTGACAATTTGCGACATGGTGAGCATGTGCTCAATGCCGTCGGTGGTGAAGGCGTGGGGCAAGTCGCGGATGTGCTCGAGGGCCGGCAGGTAGTCGTCGGTCGTCTGCACGGTTGCAAAGGTCGGGGCGGGCTCATGGCGGTTGGCTTCGTACTGGCCGGCGAGCCGCGATGCGACCGGCGTGTAGATGGACGCGTCGAAGGCTGCGGCCGGCGGGGTGGAGAGGCGGCAGTTGGCGTGCGACAGAGCGGCCGCGACGACGGCGGCGTCGTCGTAGCGCGAGAGCGGGGCGAGCCGGCGCGCGACCTTGAACTTGGCGCTCACGTCCTCGTCCGAATCGGAGTCAGAAATCTGCATGGTGCCTCGGCTTTTTTGGACGGCAATCCGGTGCGGTTGCGGAGCCTCCCGTATTTTTTTTAAAAAAACTGTTTTCTATTTATTTTTTAAAAAGACTACTCAGATGCTTGAATGCCGTATTCGTCACGGAGCCATTCGAAGACGTCCTCCTCGCAAATGGTGCAGAGGCAGGTGGAGAGGATGACTCCGTTTGTGTTTTGCAGCCAGCACGACTCGCACTTGAGGCACAGGCAGTGCGAGCCCGGTCCGTGCACATCGACATCGTGCTCTTTGCAGCTCATGCAAATGCGGAACTGCTCGGCCATGTCGTGTGCAAGTTTCTCCCAGTCACTCAGCTTCTATGCGCATACGGTGCGTGGGACCGCACGCTGTGCCCGGGCGTGGACGCTCCGCAATGTGCAAATTGGCTGCAGCAGAATCGCGAGACGACTGCGCTCGGCCACGTCGAGTTATTGGAGACCGAGGCCGCGCGCAAGATCATCCGGGGTTCGTGAGTTATTCAGGAGGATTTTTACCGCATTTTTTTGCAATTTCCCCCCGGACTGGCCACTAATTTGGATTTCGACCCAATCCGGATCCTATGCAATCCAGGCCAGGTACACACTGTCTCCATTTGCCTCTACAGGGGATCGCGGGCAATACGAAACCGTCGTGTTAAGAAACTGAGTCTCGTTTTTTAGCCCTTCAATAGTAAGTTTAATCAAAGTTTAATCATTGCTTGTATGCAATTTGCTAAGAAACTCAGCCTTAGCCTCAAAACCCGCCGTTCTTTTTGCCCGCGATCCGCTGTAATTGGGTCTCCAGGGCCGCCGCCGGGCTGAAATTTTCCTCAAATGACCTACCGACCCCTCCCATCGGCGGCCACACACTGGGGCTTTTGAGGGGGCACACTGGACTATGTGACAAGTTAGTAATATGTTTGTCACATACAAGCTAATAGCTAGCTTGAACGCGTACATACTACATATACAGGCTAATTTAGCTAATATAGCTATTCATACTAGCAACACCCGGTAGTGAAGCACCCACCGATTCTTTTTATTGTATAAAAGAAGACACACCACTTCTACCAGCTTCCCACTTCGGCGTAGCGCGTAGGAGCCTGCGTTGGAGCGCTAAGATCAGCCTGACTTGAACTTGAAACGTACCGCCAGCTCAAATCCACCTACATTAGTATAAAAGAAGACCTTGGGCCCATCGTCGCTTGTTTCCATTGATTTAATTATTAAAATAAAGTTCGTTACTGTACGCTTCGACGAAGCGATGGAAGAAAGAGACAAGGGAGGCCGCCTGCGCCCGATGCCGACGTGGACGATCCGTGGGTGGTCGAGAAGATCGTCAAGTATCGCTTCAACAATCGGGCGTGGCGCGACGAGTGGCAGATCAAGTGGCAGGGCTACCCAGCGAGCAAGAACTCGTGGGTGCCGCTCGAGAACCTGACGGACGACCTCGTAGCAGTTGCGCAGGGCCTCAAGGCTAGCGCAATTCGCCCCCGCCCGGCTATCATCGATGATTCCAATTGCTGATGATCGACGATATCAAGAACTTTAAGTTGCCTACATTGATTGTATTTGCGCAATTAGGCCAAAATAAACATTATTGGGTGGGCGGCTGCGGTGGCGGCCTACGGCCGCCGCTCACGCCTATGCCACCTTGAGGCTGAAATCGTCAGTGTGGGGGCGATGCGCGTCCCCGCCTACACTGAGGCCGCTGAGCGGCGGGGTCTCCGCTCCCGCCTCACACTGACCCCCCAGTGTGGGGGGGAGCTGCGCCCCCCCCCCCGGCTCTTAGAAAAGGCGTACAGGGGATCGCGGGCAATAAGAACGGCGGGTTTTGAGGCTGAGTTTCTTAGCAAATTATGTACAAACAATGGTTAAATTTCGGTTAAAATTACTATTGAAGAGCTAAAAAACGAGGCTCAGTTTCTTAACACGACGGTTTCTTATTGCCCGCGATCCCCAGTAACGCACGGGGAATATCCGCGGGCCGGTCGGCCGGGGCCCCGGGCCCCCGGGCCCAGGCCCCCCCGCGGCCCCTCCGGGGTCCCCATGGGTGTAAGTTAGTGGCGCGGGACTCGTGCGTACGCCGTTTGTGTTTTATTGTAACTTATTCAACTATATATATTAGCGGCTCAGCATGGTTCGACAGGTGCTTTTCAGTCACTGGCTTGGTCGACGTCAGGCTAAGGTCGAGCGATCGACCCAAACCCTCATGCACCAGCACTCACACCAAAGGGTGTGAGTGTGTGCGCCCCGGCCCCCACGCCCCGCCTCGGCCGCGCCTCGGCCGCCGCAGCCCTGCCGTGGCGGCCGCAGGGAGCAGCATCGTCTTCGTAGCCTTGGTAGCCTTGAGCGGCGTCTCCGTGTGCGACCCGCCGCCGCGCGCAGAAGCGCCCTCCGCAAGCGCGCGACGCACATCCACTTGAGAACCCGAGCGAGACGGGTGGTCGAGAGGTGCCAGCGAGTACCTCAAGTGGACAGCATCGCGACGCTGCGAGCGCGCACACTGCGGCGGCCGCAGGGAGCAGCATCGTCGTAGCCTTGGTAGCTTTGAGCGGCGTTTCCGCGTGCGGCCCGCCGCCGCGCGCAGCAGCGCCCTCCGCAGCACGCGATGCACATCCACTTGAGGACCCGAGCGAGACGGGTGGTCGAGAGGTGCCAGCGAGTACCTCGAGTGGACAGCATCGCGCCGCTGCGAGCGCGCACACTGCGGTGGCCGCAGGAAGCAGCATCGTCGTCGTAGCCTTGGTAGCCTTGAGCGACGTCTCTGTGTGCTGCTCGCAACCGCGCGAAACAGCGCCCGTCACAGCACGTGACAGAAGCAATAGCATGGTGGCGAAGAGCAACATCATGGTGGCGAGCCAGGCAGCGCCCCCCTCGGGGGCACACGCGTGCGCGCGCGCGCAGCGCGCGCGTACTGTCGCGCACGTTTGCAGCCGTGTAAGATGCGCACGGCCCTATTGAACGAATCCTCAAAATTTTAGAGCCAACAGAGTTGTTGGCCAGGAGTTATGGCCAAAACCATGTCATTAGTTACGAACTTTTGAAACATAATAACTAATGTCCGGCCCAGCGTGGCGGGCGTCGAGCTGCTCACCCCGAACGCGATGAAACCGTCCAGCTCGCTTAGCGCGGTGGGTCGCGGTGGGTGTCGTACTATGCGCTCCGAGCGTGCTGAGCCCGCCTGCAGCCGGTGTGAGCGGTGAGCAGCCGTGCCCGACAGCGGGCGCGTAGCGCGTCAAGCTCGCGATGGACCTGCCTGCATCTGATTGGGGACGATTCTACTGGCTGATATCCTCATCGCGCAGGTCGGCATCCTCGATGTTGTCAGCAACCTGGAAGCTGAACGGGTCACCTGCACCCCTGCGCCCGTGACTGCACGCCCCTGTGCTGGACGCA